AGAACAAGTTATGACTTGTTGCCTAAAAACTGACAACACTTATCCCTATATTGGTCTAAATTAAGACAGAAAGGTGCCTCACTAAATGAAAAATAAAACTTAAGTGAAAAGTTCTTCTTATCTAGATATATGCTGGCCGATCTAACGAACTGGCAATCTGAAACATCTGAACGTAAAGGCTTAACATCCCAACCCTTCCCACATAACTTATCTAGTAAACTAAACCCGCCAAAAATGCTGAACAAAACTTTAAAATTGTTTCCTTCAGAAAGACCAAACGTTGCCATGTCATGGAAAGGTTCAAATACSCCAAGACTGACTGGCTGAGCCGGCCTAGTAGCATTCAAGGAAATACCACTACAGACAGCTTGGCGTATTTGAGCCCCCAATGCATGGCGACGGAGTTCTCTCTGATAGGAAACATTTCCAAAGTTTTGTTCCTGACACTTACAAACACGTGACTGACATTGAAAAATAATGTTAGCAATCGATTGAGAAATGCCGGAAAAACTATACTCACTACTTGGACACAAACATAGTAAAAACGAACACTCAACTGTTAAAATAAAATTGCGAACCAAAGAAACGACTTTCTGACCTTCAAATTGACATCTAATAAGAGAAACAAAAACTTTACCATTGACACTTTGTTTAAAAATACGACTTAAAACAACTGGATGTGAAAAAGAATCAACAAAACAAACGCTCCCTACTTTCAAAACAAAACCGTYTTCTCGAATATAAACAGAAAAATCTAATAAAGAGTCCTCCCGACAAGAATCARCATGGAGTACATCGTGAGTGTAAGGAACTGCTGGTTTCGTAGYTGCTGGTTCCGTAGTTGCTGGTTTCRTAGTTGCTGGTYTCGTGGTGTCCAATCGTATCTTTTTGGTTTTCGGCTTTTCTGGTGSTTCTTCTGTGAACTCATCAATTGGCCACCAAACGTGTTCATCATCCTTCATTTTTGCCAGTAGTTTATCGTTKATCGGGTCAACTTCARTGATCGTCACGAGATTCTCGCCTAGCCATAGCTCATCATCACCTACGATTTTGGTAATCTGTGGGATCTAGATCGAACAAACAGAACCATTCATTAGTTATGATTTCAAGCATTTTGGCTATAGAAGATCGATTTACGCAAACATGAGTACAAATTATATAGATTAGAAATATGTAGTTTACCTTGTAAGAAGTATTCTTGATGTGTCGTTTTCRAATCTCCGAAACAGCTCTGATTTCGTGTTGTGTAACAACGCGATCCCACTTGCTTCCCMAGCCGATAAAAGATAYTTTGACGCTATGTGCGTCTAAAACTTCTTTTACGACACAGCGTGTCCATATTTTAAATTCATCGAGGGCTTCAGCCTGAGTATTTTTACAAAATTGATCCATCACAGTTGATAAAGCGTAATGATCTGATCTGATCAGTCAGCTGTGTTTTGCTTACCTGCGTTGCTAGGATACACGATCTTAGCGCATGCGCAACATAACAAGCCATGCATAAATGAATTTTTAATAGACTAGGCGAAAAATTGAGAAAGTCAAATTCCTAAAGTTCATGAGGCATATTTTAGTAAAAGTTGGGAACAAAGCTATTCTTATGTGATTTTTATCGCTGAATCCGAAAATCGTTGTTCCCAATGCTGATTTTGCCGTTTAAGGGGAGAAATTGGCGTCAGAACATACGTCATCAAAATTTACATAAATGCGCA